AAGTAATAGGAGTTGTTTGTATGTAAACTGAAGTGGAGAAAAATTAATGTTGGTATACGGTTCATGTCATTCCTTTTGAACTTTCGGTTTATTTAAGTATTAAATTTCATTTTCTTTCATTTTCACAACATTTGATGGAACAATCCAATTTCCAATAATTTTTCCTACTTTGCGTTACCTAGACAGTCTAACGTAAACAAAATAAAATTCATTTTCCTATAACACCTTGATAGTACAATCTAACTAAAATAGGACCAACAATCTATCGCCAACCTGAAAGTATAACCTAAATAAAATTGGCTCAAAAATCCCAGTCCGTATCTAACCCAAACAGTCTAACTAAAACAAGATAAAATTCACATATCCGTGACGTAACAGTACAACCTGGCATGAAATCGGATCAACAATCTAAAATTAAATAATTCCCTTGTACAACACCCCAACACAATGATCTAAACGAAATAAAGACGAACGCTCTCGATTCGACCACGTTTTACTCGCTACGCACCCTGACAGCATGACTGTAAAACAAAACGAGAATAAAAATAAACAGATCCCGAATGAATTTTCATCGAACACGGAAAACTGGCGGACCGTGTCCTCCGGCTGGAGCCGAAGCCCGGTGGAAGGTGTCACACCGCCGAAAGGAGTGTAACGGGTGGGTGTGTCGGCGACGGCTTGAGAACTCCGCGGAGATCGAACGGGAGCGGAAAACTACGTGGAATGCGTGCGTAGCGTGGCGGGTGGCGTGTACTTTGTGATGCAAATTAATGCGCGATTACCAAACCGCCCCTATCCCCGGCCGCCCCTTCTCCTCGTTACTCTAGCCGGGCGTTCGTGTCGAGGCCCCCGCGCCGATCCACTGGCAAATGGCCGCACGACTGTGTTGGTTCGGTTGCTCGGACGTGTCGGTTCGGTCGCTCGGACGTGTCGGTTCGGTCGCGCGGACGTGTCGGTTCGGTCGCTCGGACGTGTCGGTTCGACCGCCGCGCCGCCGCGGCTGTGTTGGTTCGGCCGCGTACCACAATTTCAGGCGTACTCTCGGCTACGTGCAATGAGTCCAAGGGGGGCAGAGGCCCACCCTACAACCCCCTGCGACTCGATGCCTACCCACGCATTAAGCCTGGTTACACGCTCGCTCTCTCGCTCCCCTAATCTGATGTAACTATTACACGTTACGCGGCCCACGGTATATCGACGGAATATATTCTCTACTTTCCGAGCACTTGGTCGTAGCGTTGATTGATTCGTTCGAGGATAGTTCTGATTGGACAGGTCTGTGACAGTTACACTTTTCGATATTTAGCGGCGCAGGTTTGCCGAGTGATATATCGTGTCTGTTCGGAAAATTTGTAGCGATTCAAACATGTAGTATATTGGTTAGATGTTTAGTGGACGAAGGGAATATTGTTTGATCCGGTAAATAAGTGTGGATCGAATGTTTACTATCTGCTTGTAAGTGGTAGGACACCTATGGTGCGTATGAAAAGAATGTAATGGTTCGTAAGAATATATTTGAGGCTACTTTTGTTACTTCATTGGGAACATAAACGGTGTCTATCTGACTGTAATATCCCTTGAACGATATTTATTTCGGACTTTCATTTTGTAATGCCTTCTAGCATTTACTGTATATTACCTGAGTGTCCTAATACTTAATACTGGTCATTTTTTCCTTTTCTATTTTCCGTGAGAAACACCTACGGAACGTATGTAAAAGTACAAAGTCCATTTTCGTTACATTCGGGAGAACTTGTAAAAAAAATTACACCACTTTGACTGGGAAATTTTATACCATTTAATTAGATAAGGAAAATCGTAATACCAAACAGAAGGAAAAAAGAGTGCCCCTGCCTGACTGTTGTTGAGCTGCCTGTAACGATATTTTTTTTTCTGATTTTTCGAATAATACATTGTGTTATAGGAAACAAGATTCGAGAGTAACGATCTTTGGCGTGTATCACGCGTAGCGGTGAAAACTCGTGCGCGGCAAGAAACGGAAGAATGTCGTATATACGGTCGCGTTGGTCCCCGCAAGAAAACGACCCGAGCATTTTTGTCCCCCGTATCCGTGCAAACACCGGGAAAATCGACGCCGCGCAAAGTTATTATATGGCCGGCCGTGCATCACGAAAAACTCGTACCTACTGTATATGGCCGTTTGTAAAGTTCGCGGACACTAAAATTCCATCACGAAGCGATTTCAAGGTGTCAAGCGTTATACTCGTTAAAGCCGCGGCCGCATGAAACGCGGTCCCCTTTTTCGTTTCGTAAAGAGGATCACCTGAAGAATCGCGTGTGGGTTACCTTAATTGATGTAATTTCGCGGGAACAGCGTGGCTTTTCGAAATTGCAAAAATAACAGGAAACATTTCTTTTACTTGAAATCGACTTCATTTTTCATGGACATCGTTTAAAAATACAGGCTGTTGATAACGAACAGAAAATTGTTAATGAGCATTTCTATTAATATATTTCGATGGAAAGTGATGTTTTAATAATAGTGGTCCCTTGATAAAATTAATGGCTTCCCTTGGAATTATTTTGTTATTTCACTTCTAATAAAGTATCCTGTTTAACAACAATATAGAATTTTATATTGTGGAATACTATCTTAAAAATTCTGCAATTATCTATCACATGGCTGAAAATGTTTCGTTGAAATAAAGAAAAGCACCTTATTTACTAATTCCTCGTTCACATGTTATTTCTAACTCGAACATGACAATGCTTGGATGAAATTAGTTTCGTAGACAAGACTAATTCCATTTTTATATATAGGACGTAATTTCCATCGAAATTAATTTAATCGTATTTCAATGCAATAAAGAAGTAACATTACCCACGTTCCTTTTTAAAATATAGACAGTAGGTAACAAACCTTTAGGATTCGTAAAGTAGTAAAAATAATTTAAAGTAGTAAAACTAATTTAAAGATTTGTAAGTTCAAGGGCCAGAGAATTCTGAAATAGGAAAAATTTACATTTCTCGAGACTCAAGAAAAACCCCATAACTCGGTTCTTGCGTGACCAATTTTTCATAGATGACGTTTCGTTTTTTCTAAAAAATCTAAAATTAAGATTTCAAAAATCTCGACAAATTGCGAAAAATAATAAAATGTTTTTGAAACTTCTAATAACTTCTTTTATATACGCCAGTACTACATAATTTTTTCAAAGCGCTCACTTCAGTGCAATATATATAAAAATAACTATTCAAACTTTCAAACAAAATTTGTTATATTCTCAATATGTAAGTGCATTAATAAATAGACACTTCATTCATGTTGAACATTTCGTTCATGGAAAAAAAAATGTTCAGGACTCCACAGTGGCAAGATTCCTCACAATTTACGTACTGGTTCTTAATTTTACGAAAATAAAACAATTTTTGTACAAAATACCAAAAAAGATGCACTGAACGGAATAAAGTAATAATGATACTATTACCATTAGAAAAGTCCTCGTAGATCAAAGAAATCGTTCTTTCGTCGGTTTTGCTCAAGATCCATTCGGCACGAATCCTCTTCGACCCGGTTCGATAATCGTAGGATCCCGATCGAGCTTCCCCCGTCCACGATCAAATAACTCCGTAATGAGGATTGAACGATTATTATAAATCAAACAGAGGGCGGCCCGTGTGTACACGCGGGGGGATATCTGTTCGTCGCATTTCTCGCGCGCCACGTGTTTTGCCGGTGTTACTCTCTTGGTGAACACGTGTCCCGCCTCCCGTCCCGTTTCTTTCCTGTCGTTCCCATGTCCTCTCCCTCGGTAGCCGCGGTACGTGCAAAAGTGACGTACGCACCTGAACGTTTCGCGACACGCTGAATTTTTCTCTCTTTATCTCTCCCTCTCCACTTCCCACGCGCGCGCTCTCGCTCGCGGGTGACTTCTTTTGGACACGCTACGGATCCCGACGTTTCAATTACACTTGGTCCCCGGTGAAAGTTGTGCTTAACGACGCGACGGATGCTTTCACGGGCGACGGCAGCGGCCGTTTCGGACCCGTCAAAATGGAGGATTTTACTTCG